ATATTTCCCTTTTCTGATGCTTGCTTTAAACTTCAGCATATTGAACGTGTCTGTATGCTTAAATGTAGTTGAGCTGCTGCCATTAGAGAGTAACAAACCTATTGAATTGGCAGATGAGTGTGTATATCATTATTTAAGTCTTGGAACAAGGTATGTTATCGTTGGAAAAGTGGTTGTCCGTGTGTGCCTCATAGAACTGGTGTGAAGCGTGGCTTCTCTTTACAGGGCAGATTGAGCTGTACACACACCTTCCTGTAATGAAGCAGCTGGTGGAGCAGCTCCAGCAGTGGGAGTTTCGGGTTTGTGGAGTTTTCCTTGTTGACTCGCAGTTCATGGTGGAGTCTTTTAAGGTAACAGTCTCACAGTGTCTTCCTCTGATTTATTTGATTTTCCTTTTTTAACTTCATTTCTGTACAAACACAAACATAATGTAATAGTGACAGCACACCTTTTACTTGTCTCCTACTGTAGTTTATCTCTGGAGTCATGGCTGCCCTCAGTGCTATGGTGTCATTAGAGATTCCTCAGGTAAACATCATGACAAAAATGGATCTGCTTAGCCCCAAAGCAAAGAAGGAGATTGAAAAGTAAGTTTCATATGAATTGACAATGTTAAGTGCACACAAAATCTACAAAAGTAATTCCCTTTGTCGTCTGTACTTGGACTAGATTAATGTTTTCTTTTCATGTTATTCAAAACCTGAACATGTTTGAAGACACAATTCTTAGTTTTAATTTGCTTACATTTTTATGCATTGCATTTTTTTTTTTTTATAAAGATACCTGGACCCGGACATGTACTCAATGATGGAAGACGGCTCCAACACAATCAGAAGCAAAAAGTTCAAGAAGCTAACCAAAGCTATTTGTGGTCTCGTAAGTAAAGGCCTTGATTTGGTACTGCATCATGTTTATGACCAGATTGATATTTTTATTAATATATTTGTCTGTTTTTAATGAGACAGTATCTGTTTGTGTATCTAGATTGATGACTACAGTATAGTAAGATTCCTCCCTTTTGACCGCACTGATGAAGAAGGTATTAACATAGTACTGCAACACATTGACTTCTCAATACAGTACGGAGAGGACCTGGAGTTTAAGGAGCCAAAGGTGAAGAAACAGCATAACCCACCCACCCCAACTGAACACAACTGGAAAAAAATAAATATATATAATAAATATATATTTATATAATAAATAATAAATATACAATATGTGTGTGTGTATGAGATGCATTATATAGCTTTTCATGATCAACCATTTTTTTTTTGTTCTGTACCTTGTTTTCCTACAGGAGGTTGAGGAACAGCCTGCTAACCTAAATTATGACGACATTTTTCAAGACAAAGCGAACAGCTGAGGTGGAGTACGGCCAATCCTGCAAATACAGACTTTGTGTAGCAAGACTGGCAAAGGAGTTCCAATCGGACTGTTTGTTGTAACTGGATGGATACTGAGAAATGGACACGTGAAGAAGATTGTGGATATCATAAATAATGTTTCATGGTTCTTGTTTTTTTGTTTGTTTTGATGAAAATGAAGCTATTCATTTAAAAGTATATTTTAAAACAGTGGTTTGATGCATTTAAATGCGTAGCAGTTATTAAAAAATATTGCTATTATATTTTTTTGAATAAAATGCAACGCAAAATACACGTTTTGCCGCCCGTGTGATGCAAAGTGTTTATTTAGCGCCCCCGGCTGGTTGATACGCCACATGACACGTGGCCACTTCCTGTAAAGCCGAAGGGTGGGACAGCACGGAAGCAGCATCTTGCAAGTGTTGGAATATTTCTGTCGCTGAGCAGTTGGACTGATATTTATCATTCAACATGCCGGTGAGTAAAAATAAGAAGGAACACACTATTATTGACGAGCAGAGAACTTTACTGCTAGGTTTAGAGCAAAAATATTGCGCTGAAATCCCACTGAGTAGGAAAAAAGGGGCCTCCGAGTTAACGTTAGCATAGTTCGCTAATTACCTAACCATTTGGGTCGCAATTTAACGAAAGCGCAAATTCGCGTTTGATGCTTTGTTGCAAATAGGTTTTAGCACGCTGCCTATACTACTTCTTATTATTTGGTTCTACGATAACATAACTATTAAACCAGGCTAGCATAGTAGCAATGATGCTATCTGGCAGAAATGTTCCCAAAGATATCAGGTCACAGCAACTTTTTCTTTTAATATTTTTCAGGCGTATCACTCAAACCTGATGGCCACCGAAACGAGGCTGGTGGGGAACATGGCTTTGCTCCCCGTCAAAACTCAGTTTAAAGGACCAGCCAGAGGAGACGGTAAGGCTATGCGATATATTTTACTTGTGTAATATTTATCGAGTATATTTTACTCGATAATGTCCTTCACATAACGCACATCAATTGTAGTGAAGTCTATAGTAGTGTTTTTTGATTTGGTTAAGTCATTTTTAGGCAATGGGTTGTATCTTGTTATGACCCCTACTGTATTTCCTGATACATGCATCAGATACACTTCCTTATATGGTGTAAAAAGCTCATCCTCAACTTCTAACTTCTTCATTAGAGTCTATGAGCACTTCTGTAATAAAACGGTGCATTTTGTAGTGTCTACTCCACCTAAAGGTTCATTTCAGTCTTCCATGGTGTTGTGGGTTTGACAGGTTCAGTGCTATTGAATAATAAAGTTATTATATTTTGTGATTGGGTGATTCTAGTTGCTTGTTAGCAGCTCATAAATCAAGAATGGAGCTCTGCTGGTAGCAAAAAGGCCTGCATGGCCAAAACGGGAAATAACATTTTAACAGTGACACATACATATGCACATGCACAAATACTGAATTTAGAGCCGTAAATTTGTTGATTTCTTCTTTGCTTTTTTAAATTTTAGGCGTAGATTCTGATATTATTGACGAGGCTATCTACTACTTCAAGGCCAATGTTTTCTTCAAGAACTATGAAATCAAGGTAAGCAATTCATTGACATTTGCACTGTTTTGATTGCATGTGCTCCATGTTTAAGGAGACCAAAATAGTCATAAACCTTAGGGCGGTTTTGCTGTATTTGTGCCCCCACCATTGTATCAACATATAATTTATTTTATTATTTTTTTTTAAAGTAGCTTAATACGTTTTATTTGAATAAGGAGGCAGGTATGCACCTCACTGGTGCCCCTTTTCCTCTATGTTTTCTCTTACTCTCTCTGGAGCAGCTGAGCACTTGGTTTTTCCACATGCCCTGGCTTGCCTCTTCCTGTGATTGCAAACAATGCAATCTTTTCATAGTTTGCATGGTTTAGGCTGTTCAATTCTGAGACCTAACTACTACAAATTACAGTAACCTCAATGCTTTATATAAATTTTTCAAAAATGTGTGTGTACATGTTTCTTTCAGAATGAGGCAGACAGGACACTGATCTATGTCACACTCTATATTTCTGAATGCCTAAAGAAACTACAGAAGGTAAATTGAAAGCCCCACAAAGGGCTTAATGCAGTTTCATCACTTGTAGCAATGAGCTACTTAAATATATATATTCAAGTAGGTGACCAGAAAACATAATCAAACTATTTCCATTGGGATATGTGGCTCTACAGTGCAGCTCCAGGAGCCAGGGAGAAAAGGAGATGTACACTCTGGGCATCACAAACTTTCCCATTCCTGGAGAACCTGGCTTCCCCCTTAATGCTATGTATGTCAAACCTGCAAACAAGCAAGAGGAAGGTAAGAAGCCACAAGCTAGGATTAGTACATGTTTGTCTGCCTTAGGGTGTTTATCAGTAAATAAGTAAAAACAAACTTGACATTTCACCATATTTATACCAACTGGTTATGTTGTTTCAATTCCCTGACTCTGAATTAGACTGGTTCCTTTGTACACCTCTTATATTTCAAGCCAAAAATAGAAATGCTGACCTTTAAGCTTTAGGGGTCTGGGGCTGAAAAGGTTGTTTTATACTTGTGTGATTATCATTTATAAAGTACCAACTGTTACACATGAAACTAATGGAATTCCACCCTATTTAAAAACTCCTGAAAATATCGAGTTATTTTACTGAACTCCATATCCAAGTGAATCCTCTCAGATCTTTTACAGCAATCTTACTCCTAAATCTAAATGCCTGGATCTTTTTTTTTTGTACAGTATATTATGTGGAAGGTCGACTACTAAAGCCATGCCTTCCTGCTGTTAAACAGTAGTTAATATTTGCTCTTCATCCTTCTTTAGAGACTATGAGGGCCTACCTCCAGCAGCTCCGACAGGAGACTGGCTTGAGGCTATGCGATCGTGTGTTTGACCCCCAGACAGATAAACCCAGCAAGGTAAGTCTGGCATGTCCAAAGTGATTGGCTGTTGCGGTCTGTGAACATGACAAGGGAAATGTCTCAGGGCTAATGCACCCCTTGTTCCTTAATTACTGTGTCTGATGCATCCAGTAGGATTTAAGTTGCAATACAGAAAAGAACTTGCATAGCTCATATTTGGATCAGAGACGAACGAAAATTAACTGTTGTTCCTGTCTTGATTTCCTGCCTCCTTTATCTGATTTATACAACTTAATATCAAATCTAGGTCACCACACAGCTAACCCAGGAGGGATACAGGCTCAAATGCTAGATTTAAGCTGCTTTCTACAATCTAAATGTGCAGGTTTCAGCAGTTAACACTGAAACGTGTCCTTTTGACTGAAAAGTTTACCAACTTTTTCTTCTTTCAGTGGTGGGTTTGCTTCGTCAAGAAGCAGTTCATGAACAAAAGCCTGTCAGCCCCTGGACAGTGAGCAACTAGGACTGCAGTTTTCTACACTTGCAAGATGGATTTTTGGGTGGGGTAGTAAAGGAGGGTCTGCTTTTGTGTTAAGATTTTATACAGTTTATGTTCAAGCATGTCTTCACTTGTTGATTATATTGAGCTGGTGCTTAATTCAATAAAGCAATTATGGAGACGCGAAACTAGTGCAGTTATTGCCGTTTAGCTTTTAACCAAATGTGCCACTAGGTGTGAAGGAAAACTTCAGTGACTTGAGGTCTGTTTAAGGATGTGTTGGTGTACAGCGGAGGGAAGAAAAGGTTTCTACAGAAAGAACAGTATCTGCACGACTTTATTCACACTTATATCAATACAACTATTTCATTTGACGTATCCATGCTATTGTAACCATAAAAAAAAAAAAGCTGTTACATATAAACTTCTGTAAGAGGTATTAAAATAACTGCTGACCTGTGACCTCTTCCATAGGAATGAGAGAATACATTTACTCTACATATGCAATCACAAGGATAGGAAGAAAGTCTGTTAATTTAAAAAAATAATAATTAAAATCACGGTTTCTCTTTGGTTTGTATGAGACACCTTTTTTCCTTAAGTTAAAAAAAAAGGCTCTTAAATGCAGTCCTTGCTGAAGTTAAGGCAGTGTTCAAGTTCACCAACAAAGGAAAGAAGAAGCACCTGAGAAAGAGGAAGATGTGTTTCTAGATTTCCATCTGATCAATGACTGCGATTAATGAAAAACTGCATATATAGTGAAATGAGTGGCTCAGTGTTGCAAATTGAAGGAAAAAAAATAACTCGAGCAGTCGACACGCAACAGCTTCACTACAAATAAATAGATTAATATAAACAAGCTTTAGAGAAGGTGCATTTATCCTGGTGCCTTCTCCAAAATCTAATGATTTTTTTCCCCCATACACAGAATTTAACATTACACTACTTAAATTATGGAAATCATCCTAAATATTATGTTAATACATTTACTTTGGGGAAAAAAAAACAAAATAGGAGCAGTGTACTGTCAAATTCCATAAGTATGCAAGCCACACAAAAAGGCTGCACATATCCTGCTAGTGAAATGCTGATAAAGTGGTAATGATATAAAACTGCAGCATTGATGTTACTGCTGTTCAGCAATATTCATGAAGAAGTTTCTTCACTGGCAAAAAGTTGCAAAGATCTGCCAGCCATCTCCCTCAACGGGCAATCCACATCCAGCTCCTACCCAAGAAAAAAAATAAACATTTCAGTTTCTGTTCTAGTTTCATAAGGAAGTAAATCACTATGGTAGAAGGCTGTGAATTCAGAGGGCTCTAAAAATCAAACAAACTAACAAAACAAAAACACAAAATTTGTAATGCATGAACAATAAAGCTTCTTCTTGTCATTACTTAAAATGCAGCTAATGCCAAACTTGCTCAAAGGCAGCCTAGCAGATGTGAAGAGGTTAAATCTGGGTGATTGTACTTACAGAACTGATGATCAGACTGACGCCTTAGTCAAAAGCAGTGTCTTGGCTTTTCCGTACACAACGCGCCACCTTTTTCTTAAAAATTCCTGTAGGATCTTCTCTCCACTCTTTCTGCCGGGTATAATAGACAGTGATTGTATACAGTGTCATTTACTCCCTCCATCACTTCTTGTTTCTACATCTTGGCCACACAAGCTGCACAAATCAGAGATGCCTGTAACACGTTTACTTCATTTCTCTTAGAGCTTACACGTTGTCTGAAGCTAGCGGAGAACATGAGCACTTACAGCTGCATCCACATTGGCAGGAGAATCTACATTGGGATCTGCCAGCATGGAGATGACACTGATCATGATGGTCTCCACTGTATGGATCGGTAGCCAGCGCTCCTCAGGCTTCTCGTAGCCGTACTTGTCCTCACCAGGTTCGTGCAGAATGGAAATGCAAACTTCACCATTTTTTGCCACTGGCATAAAAGAAAACAGGAAAATAAACAGACTGTTACAGTGCTGCAGATATAAAATAAAAGGTAAAAGCTCATTAAGGGACTTTTACCACAAGTGGTGTGGTATAGGCTTATTCCATACCACTTGTGGTAAAAGTGGCTCACGTCATACCACTTAAAAGTACACGATTGATGGATCTATCGATCCTCACCCTACTGATATAGTTAACATACACAGACTACCAACTGAAGAAGCAATCATAATAGCAAAATAATGATAATAAAAGCAAAACATGTTTCTTCTTAAAGTGTTATTGGTTATGTATTTAATGTCATTTAAAGAATTTTTTCCAGATTCACAATTTATTTATTTTATAAAATTAAAATTTGAGTAATTTAATTATAAATATAATTAGTTTTTGTCCCAAGTACAATCCACATTATTACTTAAAAAGCAGATTTACCATTCCTTCACTCTGGTATCACTCAATTTCAATCATTTCAACTAAATATTAATTGTGTTATGTATATATGATGAAACCAATCAGCCAGCTGAGAGACATAATCTGTCTAGCGTGTATTGAATCAGCCCTGGGACCCAAAACATGTCACCTAGAACGGGCAAAGGAGACATCCTGGAAGAGAATAGCAGCTCTACTCTGAGGTCCTCACTCCATTTCTAAGGCTGAAAGATGACACCATTCGGAGAAAACTCATTTCCATCACTTGCACTTGTGATCTTATTCTTTCAGTCACTACTCAGAGCTTGTGACCACAGGTGAGAGTAAGGACATAGATCAGTCAGTAAACAGACAGACTCACTTTTACACTAGTCTCCTCACCACAACAGACCAGTACAGCACCCACACTGCTGCCAAGACTGCACCAATCTGCCTGTCACTTTCCCAACTCCCCTCTCTTGAGAACAAAACCCAGATATACTTGAACTCCTCGACTTGGTGCAGCAACTTGTCCCCTACCCAGAGTGGGCACTCTCTTCCAGCTGTGAACCGTGGCCTCAGACCTAGAGGTGCTGATTCTCATCTCGACTGCAAACCACTCGGGTGTAACCTGAAAGTCATTTCTCAATGTAGCCAACAAAACCACATCATCTGCAAGAAGCTGAGACAAAAGACCCGATATCCTCCGTCAATTAGCTGTGTCTAGAAATTCTCCCCATAAAACGAGTCTGTGACAAATAAAAGCCTTGGCGGAGACCAACACCCACTGAGATCGAGTCTGATTTAATGCTGGGAATGCAAACCAAACAACTAAAAACACCTAAAGCTAAATGATTACTACAAGTAGTTATAATACACAGTTTGCCTCTTGCTTTGCTCAGGGCATGCTGGCATGTCACAGAAGCAAACAGTTGCTACTTTCCCATCTGTGTTTTGGGAGCAAAGTAAACATCTTTTTTTTTTTTATGTAGGTCTTCCAGTCCAGTGTTGGACAGCCACATCAGGTGTTTTCACTGTGATTTAGTGGTCATTAAAATGTGTTCAGAAATTGCAAAATGATGATGATTAATCTTGTAAATCACACACGCTGCTCTCCGGTATATAAGCTGCATTTATAGGGTAAAGGTAGTGATATCGGCAATGCTGGCCCTGTATTTGCTTCATATCTGATCAATACCAAAATCTACAGTATTGCACAGCACTACTGTACATACCCGAGTGTTAAGCTAAGGCTTATATATTTTAAAAACTCATAATTCTTGTATTTTTTAATAATATAAATTACCATCTAAGCCATTGGCTGTGATTAGAAGTAATGTTTGCATAATCATAACCACAATTTAAGACACCCCCCCCCCCAAAGAAAAATGCTAATTTCCTATCCTTTGATGTAGAATACATAAAGAGGAAGAGGTTCTGAGATTGCTCTTACCATTTGGATGCCAGATTTCAGTGGCGAACTTCATCTTAGGAGGCTTCAAAGGATAGTCGCGAGGAAATGTTAAGATAGCTTTGAAGAAACCTCCTTCACTGAAAATAAGAAAAAGGATGGTGTTAACAAGACCAGCTTTAGCTTCAGATGGATATAAATCCATTAGTTAAGATCAATAAACAAGAATCACTCACTATAATGTGTCTTGAGGTCCAATAACGACCACTTCCCATTGATAGATGTTATCATCGTCCACGAGCCCGGCAGAAAAGCCGTCCACTGGGTTCTTGATCAGTTCTGCAGATTCAAAGTGATCAAACGTGTTTAAACTCACCACACTGTGTGTTTCGAATAACATCAAGTAGACATGGAGAGAGTAAGCACATGTAATGAATGGGGGTATACTGACTTTTAAATAGTAGCTGTTGAGCAATAGCAGCTAGCCTTAGTCATATGTCCGCTAACAGCTGTGTGACACGCTATCTACGCGCGACACGTGCATTACAACTACATTTTCAAGCTTTTATATATAAAACACACAGGTCACATATGACAAACACTGCTACTACTAAACAACAACCAAACGAAACACGTCTGCTTCTCACTTGTGACTGACAATAAAACAAAGTGAAATGCTAGTGTCCACAGACTTAGCAGCAACAGTTAGCTAACTTACCTGATAATTGTTTACGCAATAACAACGAAGACTGTCCCGTCATTTTACAAATGTATGTTTTCGAGTAAGAAGTAACTAACACAAACTAAAGCCGTGGAAACGATTTAAACTACACCGTCCACGTTTCTTCTCTCTCAGACAGCGCCGTCAGTGACTTATAAAAAAAGTGGTCTGAGGAAGTAGTGAGCCATTTTTACCCTGAGTCAGATCTCTCAGGCAAATCTTCCTCCCCATAGCATACCACAAATGTCAGGGTAAAACTAAGCTAAAACTGTGCTAAAATATTTAATTAAATCGAATAAAAATACAACTGGGTTTTAGAAAAAATGTAACGTAAATTAAATCATGTGCACATGTATTGACAGTTAAACAGCCAAATGCCGTGCATTAAAAAACCCCCCAAAAAAACCCCTCTGTTATCTGCTAGCTTAAAAAAAAACTATCATTTTACCTCAAATTAACCAGGGAAACATTAAGACTACAGATATTAAAAATCTCCCTAACAAACATATAACTGACTAAAACACTTTGTTTCTCCTTTATGCATATTAATGTATAATAATAACATAATAATAATGATAATAATAATACATTTTAATTATAGGCGCCTTAAAGATCGTCAAGGTCACCTTACATTAGTACAGCAAAATAAAAACATAAGGCCCTATAAATGGTAAATGGCCTGTAGGACCCCAAAGCGCTTCACATATCCAGTCATCCACGCACACATTGGTGATGGCAAGCTACATTGTAGCCACAGCCACCCTGGGGCGCGCTGACGGAGGCGAGGCTGCCGGATCACTACCAGTAGGCAACGGGTGAAGTGTCTCGCCCAAGGACACAACAACCGAGACTGTCCAAGCCGGGGCTCGAACCGGCAACCTTCAAATTACAAGGCGAACTCCCAACTCTTGAGCCACGATTGCCACGGCTATATATATATAAACCCTCTGATGTATAACCTTTACTGTTAAGAGATATACAGTATGCATAAAAGCAACCCACAAACCTGTTAGATAATTTATCCTCATACCTGCTTGAGATTTAAGACATTATTAAGTACAGGTAAGTATGATAAAGTCCTGTTTGCTGTTGCATCACTCACTATACACTTTTACAGACACTACACAACAGTATGGGCAAAGTTGACAACTTAGCACTAAATATATTGACACAAAGAACTTTAGAAATTTATATTCTAAATAATATAGTCATACAATAAAAAATATTCTCAGCCTTATTTTGATATGAAATTTTTAAAATAAAAATCTTAATGCTCAACAAGAAAAAAATTAGCATGGATTTGTGATATATGGAGAGCAAGTAAAAATCCCTTGTTTGTCTTGTCAGACTTACTCTGGATACAATTGTTCACAGTAAATTCAACCACTCAAATGTAGGCAAATGTTGACACAGAAGACTGAATTACAACTGTTCTGTGATATAAAAAAGTGGAAATCAACACACAGAAATATTAGTCAGGGTTAGCAATAGTTGGAAAGCTTTCATTACATAGTGTTTATACTTACTACATAAAGGCCATTAATAAGAAGACTGTTTTTTCTATGGTACTTTGAAGACTTTAAAGCCTTTATATTTCTGTGTTGGATGACTGAATTCGCAGAAATGGCCTATATAAAAACTTTGCTCTATTCAGGCCTTTTAACCTGAACTAAACTCCATATAGTGGGATATAATAGTGCTGGTTACCATCATCAACTCTTATCTAGCATATATGTCCATTCTCTCCTCCCACTCCCTCTACTGTCTCTTTGTTACTTTCCTCTATGATTGACCGCTTTTAAATCCCTTTAAGTCAGATTTCAAATACACTGATCTCATTTTGCTTCTTTACTTGCTACAGCAACATCTTCATAGCATTCCACGCCTACATGTGCTTTGATCTCTAAAAATACCATTACATTCCAAAAACACCCAATACAGATCTTCAAAAAACCTCTAAAATGACTCCAGGCTTGACCAAAAATGATCCCTTTATCATGCTGTCAATGCATGGGCTTAAAACATCGTCTGTGGTTGTAGCAGCCTTCTCTAAGAAATAGATATCCATGTGTTATACTGTGAAGGTGAAATGCTTAATTCTCTTTCAGTCATTTTACAGCCTCCACATATTTTGCCTTTTCACCATCTTGGCTATTATTTTTCCTCTCTTCTTAAAGATTTATTTAAGGCTCCATGTTGTTACTCAGGGCATGTATCTTTAGCTTGCCATCATTTAATATTGTCTTCATTATCTTACACATTAGAGATGCTGGCAGCACAGTGGTGAAGGGGTTTGCACAATAAGAAGGTCAGAAGTTTGAATTGACTGGAAACCTTTTTGTGTGGAGTTTGCACTGGTTCCCTGAAGTCCAAAGACTGCACAATAGGGTAACTGGTGGTTTTAAAGTGGCAATAGGTGTGGTTGTCTGCCTATCTATGTTTGCTCTGTGATGGACTGGCGACATGTCCACGGTGTACCCTGCCTTGTTCCCAAGTGACAGCTGGGATAGGCTCCAGCCTCCTTGCGACCCTGAATTTGATAAGAAAATAGATGGATGGAAACTAGCTGTAGGTGTGAACATGAGTGTGAATGCTTGTCTGTCTCTCCTTGCTAGACCTGATTGAGTGGCGACGTGTCCAGGGTTTATCCTTCCTCTTGTCGTATGACAGCTGGGATAGGCTCCCCACCTCTGGTCCTTGACTTGGATAAGCTGATTCATTAGGTCTGTATGCATGTTAGTATGTGGCCTCCTTTCTTGGTTTGAAATTGAAAAACTGCATGCTATCCGTTGATATTTCACACTGCATTGCTAGTCTCCACCCCTAAGGCCATTCTGGTGTAGTAATTTATTGATCTAATCATTTTGTGCAATAAAATACATGTTTAGATTCCAGTTCACCTACTCTCCCTAATATTTATTACTTGCTTTCCCCGCTGATGTTTTTGAGCCTATGACACTGTAATGCAATGCAAATTTTTTTTATAGTTGACTCTATTGCTCTAACCATCTGCATTATCACATGAGTCATTCCTCCCTAGAAGAATGTGTGAAATCTGTGTTTATCTAAAAAGATATCATTAGATTCCCTGCCTAGTGACAGAAACATAAGCACATTAAATGTCATGGACTTTAACTAATTAGCACCCTAACTGACATCCTCACTTTTTTAAGATCTCCCTTAATCTCCCTTGTTTTCTTTTCACATGTTTGTTCGGCTCCTCTAAAACTTGTGACTTCTCCAGAAAATTTCATGCTTCCTGAACCAGCACTCTAGTCACCCCAGGTGGTCCTTTACAGACTTGTTTGGTTTTGGCCCACAGGCACCCATTATAAATGCAGAGAAAAGACAGTTTTTTTAATCAAATATGTATCAGGAGGAGTTTCTACTTCAGTTGGTCTTAAGGGTGAATTTTTTTTGCATGCTCACAGATGCTGCTGTCATCCTGACTAAAAAAACAACAAGAAGAAGAACTGTCATTTTCCATATGCTACTTTCCATAACTCCCACATTGCAGGAAACTGCAGAAAACAAAAACACATCTAAATGTCCAACATTTAAAATAGGTAAGGCAGGGTCTAAATTGGATGTGTGCATCTTTTTCTGTGTTGGTTCATCCAAAGCACTGAAGTCAAGCTTGCAGTAACTAACTGGTTGCTCAGTTCATGTTTTACATCCACAGTCTCATCCTGCAGCTGCTTAGCTATTTGCTGATTAGTATAGAATCATAACTGTGCAAATGTGCAATGTGGTAACCCTAAACACACTACAGCTGGGTTCAGACTGTTACTGTCTATACCAGAAAGCCAAAACCTTAGACCTCAATTGCATTAGTCAGAGTGAGGAATGAAGTGGGATTTGGTTCTGGTCAGGAGTCAGTGAACAGTAGAGGATTTTGAGTCATGGGAAAAAGAAATTTTTACAGGACTTTATGCAGTCCTGTGGAAAACTAAGCACACAGTTGGTAAACAGTCGAAGTGGTCGTGCTCATATGCTACATTAGTTTTTGACCGATGTAATGGTCTTCATTATAGCCAAATGTTTCCATTTTGGTCTGTTTAATAGCTCCACGGCAGACCCAACCCGATTTTCATGCTTTTCCGCATACGTTATTATTACGGTTGCTGTTTTCACAATCAGCTGCAACTTTGCAGCTCCCAGTCAACCAACAAGAACACTGCAGGACCTAGTTCACCCTTTAAGCCAGCGAGACATGATTGCGGATGCCGCTCAGGTGAGTCCGCCTACCCCCCCGCGAGCGGAAGAGGCAATCAGCCCTGACTAAGGGCGCCCCCGGCCCCTGTCCCAGCGACAGGGAGGTGTTAGTTTTTTAGGCTTAGCACAAGGCAGCCAATACCACTCATGCCATTGTTTGCTTATAATTCTTGTTTCTTTTTGTCCAAAAGAGAGCAGTATTGTGCAGGAATCAATGTATAGTGTGCCAAATCAACACAAGAGTTAAAAAAAAATGTTGCAGTCTTATGTCAGTGCAAGTGGTTGTGCCTCTCTGTGTTTGCCCTGCTACAGACTGGCGATCTGTCCAGGGTGTATCCCACCTCTCGCCCTATCGTAGCTGGAATAGGCTCCAGTCCCCCTGCGACCCTGTCAAGGATAAGCGAAAGAGAATGGATGGATGGATGGATGGCTGTTGTAGTCTTAACCCAACATAATTTGCAATTTATTATTTATTTAGCTTAAATACAATTTGCATGTGCTGGTGTCAGCATCATAAAATACTCCCTCTCCGTTTAACAGTGCCTGGAATGTAAATGTAAGCTATGCTTCCTTTGAAGAATGATGCAATACTTTGATGGTTTTGGCCTGGTTGGGTATCAACTGTTATTTGCCTCTGTGTGAAAAGATCCAAAGCTTTTACATTTTGCAACATTAGATGGTGCTGTAAGCAAAATGCAGATTAAAGCAATCAATTTCAGACACATTTATCTTTTACAGTGAAACAGTAAATAAAGACAAATGCACAAACAATGGGTCCAGGAGGGGCAATGTTGCCACATCCATTTTATAAGTGAATGTAATGGAGCTCTTGGGAAGTGTGATACTAACTCAGCACACTAAAAATAACCATGGTATTAAACAGAAGCTGTACTTACTGTATATATGCTGGTTTGATTATCGTTGTGGTACTATTAAATGCCATAACATTAGACTATGATATAGGATGATGATGGTAAAAATGCTGCATACATCTGCATCTGTGAAAGACTGCA